TTGTTTTTTCAATTTTAATTTCTTCAATTTTTCGATTTGCTATTTTTCATTTTTTCATACTTTTTGTTTTTTCACTTTTTCGGTTTTGCAATTTTTAATTTTTCAAGTTTTCGATTCTTTAATTTTTCATGTTTTCAATTTTTCATTTTTTCGTGTTTCTTCAAGTTTTTGTTTTCTTCTTTTTCCAGTTTTTCGTTTTTCCAACTTTTGGATTTTTCATTGTTTAATTTTTCAAGTTTTTGGTTCTAAATTTTCCATTTATTCAAATTTCCGATTTGGTTTTTTAAATTTCTTAATTTTTTCAATTTTTGCAGCTTTCCGAGTTTTCATTTTTAAATTTTTCAGTTTTCCTACTTTTGTTTGTTTTAGTTTTTAGATTTTGCAATTTTTGGAATTGCAATTTCACGAGTTTTCAATTTTCCGGTTCTTTCATTTGTCGTATATTAAATTTTTCAGTTTTTCGATTGACAATTTTCGAATACGATTTTTCAGTGTTTCAATTTTATATTTTTTTGTTTTTTCAATTTTAATTTCTTCAATTTTTCGATTTGCTATTTTTCATTTTTTCATACTTTTTGTTTCTTCACTTTTTCGATTTTCCAATTTTTAATTTTTCAAGTTTTCGATTCTTTAATTTTTCATGTTCTCAATTTTTCATTTTTTCAAGTTTCTTCAAGTTTTTGTTTTCTTCTTTTTTCCAGTTTTTCGTTTTTCCAACTTTTGGATTTTTCATTGTTTAATTTTTCAAGTTTTTGGTTCTAAATTTTCCATTTCTTCAAATTTCCGATTCGGTTTTTTGAAATATCTCAATTTTTTTCAATTTTTGCAGCTTTCCGAGTTTTCATTTTTAAATTTTTCAGTTTTTAGATTTTCCTACTGTTGTTTGTTTTAGTTTTTATATTTTGCAATTTTTGGAATTGCAATTTCACGAGTTTTCAATTTTCTGGTTCTTTCGTTTGTCGTATATTAAATTTTTCAGTTTTTCGATTTACAATTTTCGAATACGATTTTTCAGTGTTTCAATTTTATATTTTTTTGCTTTTTTCGATTTTTCGAATTGCTATTTTTCATTTTTTCATACTTTTTGTTTCTTCACTTTTCCGGTTTTGCAATTTTTAATTTTTCAAGTTTTCAATTCTTTAATTTTTCCTATTTTCAATTTTTCGATTTGCAATTTTCCATTTTTTCATGTTTCTTCAATGTTTTGTTTTCTGCTTTTTTCCAGTTTTTCGATTATCCAACTTTTGGATTTTTCATTGTTTAATTTTTCAAGTTTCTGCTTCTCAATTTTCCATTTCTTCAAATTTCCGATTCGGATTTTTGAAATATCTCAATTTTTTTCAATTTTTGCAGCTTTCCGAGTTTTCATTTTTAAATTTTTCAGTTTTTCGATTTTCCTACTTTTGTTTGTTTTAGTTTTTAGATTTTGCAATTTTTGGAATTGCAATTTCACGAGTTTTTTTATTTCTCCGTTGTTTGATTTTCAGTTTCTCGATGTTTTCATATGTCGATTTCCCAATGTTTCAGTTTTTAAAGTTTTCGTTGTTTCGATTTCTCAGTTTTTTGATTTTTCGGTTTTTAAATTTTTCGGTTTCCCAATTTTCGTCATTTCAGTTTTGGAATTTTTCATTTGTCGTATATTAAATTTTTCAGTTTTTCGATTGACAATTTTCGAATACGATTTTTCAGTGTTTCAATTTTATATTTTTTTGTTTTTTCAATTTTAATTTCTTCAATTTTTCGATTTGCTATTTTTCATTTTTTCATACTTTTTGTTTTTTCACTTTTTCGGTTTTGCAATTTTTAATTTTTCAAGTTTTCGATTCTTTAATTTTTCATGTTTTCAATTTTTCATTTTTTCGTGTTTCTTCAAGTTTTTGTTTTCTTCTTTTTTCCAGTTTTTCGTTTTTCCAACTTTTGGATTTTTCATTGTTTAATTTTTCAAGTTTTTGGTTCTAAATTTTCCATTTATTCAAATTTCCGATTTGGTTTTTTAAATTTCTTAATTTTTTCAATTTTTGCAGCTTTCCGAGTTTTCATTTTTAAATTTTTCAGTTTTCCTACTTTTGTTTGTTTTAGTTTTTAGATTTTGCAATTTTTGGAATTGCAATTTCACGAGTTTTCAATTTTCCGGTTCTATCATTTGTCGTATATGTAATTTTTCAGTTTTTCGAATTACAATTTTCGAATACGATTTTTCAGTGTTTCAATTTTATATTTTTTTGTTTTTTCAATTTTAATGTCTTCAATTTTTCGATTTGCTATTTTTCATTTTTTCATACTCTTTGTTTCTTCACTTTTCCGGTTTTGGAATGTTTAATTTTTCAAGTTTTCGATTGTTTAATTTTTCATGTTTTCAATTTTTCGATTTGCAATTTTCCATTTTTTCGTGTTTCTTCTTTTTTTGTTTTCTTCTTTTTTCCAGTTTTTCGATTTTCCAACTTTTGGATTTGTCATTGTTTAATTTTTCAAGTTTTTGGTTCTAAATTTTCCATTTATTCAAATTTCCGATTTGGTTTTTTAAATTTCTTAATTTTTTCAATTTTTGCAGCTTTCCGAGTTTTCATTTTAAAATTTTTCAGTTTTTTAATTTCTTGGTTTATCAAGATTTCGATGTTTCGACTTTTTTGATTGCTCAATTTTTCGATTTTTTTTTTTTTTTATTTTAAATGTTTTGATGTTTAACTACGATTTTTCGATTTTGGACTATTTTGATTTCTCTGTTGTTCGATTTTCAGTTTCTCGATGTTTTCATATGTCGATTTCCCAATGTTTCAGTTTTTAAATTTTTCGTTGTTTCGATTTCTCAGTTTTTTGATTTTTCGGCATTTCGGTTTCCCAATTTTCGTCATTTCAGTTTTGTAATTTTTCAATGGCTCGATTTTTCAGTTTTTTAATTCTCCAATTTTCCGATTTTTCAATTTTTGTGATTATTTAAATTTCGAATTTTTAATTTTTTTCATTTTTCAATTTTTCGATTTAATAAATTTTTAATTTTTTTATTTTAAGATTTTTTGATGTTTTGATTTCTTGATCTCGGTTAATAGATTTTTAAGATTTTTCCACTTTTAGATTTTTGGATTTATCGACGTTTCGAGTTTTCGATTTCTGGATCTTTCAATTTTTTTATCGTTCAATTTTAATTTTTCGATTTTTCTATATTTTAAATGTCCCAATTTCTCGATCTACTTTAACATTACATACAGTTATTTATTTAAACTTATAAGAGTTATAAAAATATAAAATTCGCTAAATCAAATCTTATAATTTTGGAAAAATCTGGATTTATAGTACTGTATTTCACAGATGAGGGAAGTTCTGTCGAAATAGCCTTCCACCAATTTTTTAATTGCAGTTTTTATATGTAATCTTTTATTTGTTTGTCTTTTTTGTTTCTTTTTCGACTCCCTTTATTTTAGTTTATTTTTTTATTGTGTTGTTTCTGTGATCCTTTATTTCAATTTTTTTCCGTCCCTTTTTTCTATAACTGTTTTTCTCACTTTTTTGACTTCGTCTTAGTTTCAATTTTTGGTGATTTTTTTTGTTGTCTTTTTTCCGCCTTTTCTGTATCTTTTTTGACTTCCTTTACTTTAGTTTTTCAATAGTGTCTTTTATCACTTTCTGTTGTCTTTTTTATCGTCATTTTCCATCCCTTTCTTGCTCTTTTTCTTGCATCTGTCTCCGTTTTTTGGTCACTTCTTCTTTTTGGCACTTTGTTCTTTTTTGTTTTTTTTTTGGCGCTTTTTTGACTCCTGTTATTTTAATACCATTTTTTTTTGTGCTTTTTCGACTTTTCTAACTGTTATAGTGGGATTTTGATTACCTTTTTTATACTTTTTTTGATTCCTTTTATTTTAGCTCATTTTTTGTCCCGTATTTTGGTAGATTTTTCTTTCGTGTTTTTTGTCCCTTGTTTGACTTCTTTATTGTCGCTTTTTTTGTTTCTTCTTTTTCCGTGATACTTTTTAGATGTCGTTGTTGGTTTTTTTATTGTTTCTTAGTCGCATTTTTGTGGCTTTTTGTAGTCTTTTTTGTCGCCCTTTTTCCGCCTCGCTTTGTCCTTTTTTGCCGCTTTTCTGTCAAATTAAAAATTCTTAAAGTTGAAAAATGCAAAAACTGAAAAATTTCTCATTTAAAAGAAGAAAAGTTATAAAATCAGATCATTGAAAAACCGAAAAATTAAAAAATAGAGAAAAATCAAAAAATTTAAGGATGAAAACTGAAAGAGTTGTATATCGTAAAATTCAAGAAACAAAAAATGTATAAAACATGAAAATATTGAAAAATCTAAAAATTGTAAACCTAAAAAAAATAACGCAAAAGTACAAATCGCAAATTTGAAGAAATGAAAAATTGAAAAATGGAAAAATTCAAAAATCGTAAAATTGAAAAAGTGAAAAGATTTTGAAAATCGGAAAACAGAATGATTATAAAATCAGTAGATTAACAAAATGAAGGCAATAAAAAGTCAAAAGTCGGAAGATTGAAAAAAAAAATGAAAAATTGAAATTGAAAAATAAAAAATTATAAAAATTGAAAAATCGAAAATTAGAAGAAATGAAAATGAAAGAAAAGAAAGTCGAAGAACTGTAACTGTAAAGATCGAAAAATTGAAAATTCGCATAAATGGAAAAGTTTAAAATCCAATAATTGAAAAATGGAAATATTCTAAAATCGTAAAATTGAAAAAGCGAAAAATTGAAGAATTTAAAAATCCAGAAATTGAAAAATTTCACAATGCAAAGCAGAAAAATTGAAAAATAAGGGAAATAAAAGCCGAAACGAAAAATTGCAAGCTCGGAAATCTAAATCAAAAAATGGAAAATTGAACAATTTAAAAATTCAAGTCGAAAAATAAAAAGCTGTGTTTTTCTCAGAACTGACAAATTCACGCAATTAAAAAAAAAACAAAGCTACTACTAAAATGTATTGCTGATTAGTGGTTACCCGTAAAATCGAACAACTCAACTGACTCAATATATTTTTTTTTTGTTATTCAGGTACAACCAGTGGCGGAACTGAGCGAGCTGAGCAGACGATCGGGCCATGACGGCGGCGAGGTCGTTCTGGACGATTCGAACATCCGCGGTGGTACTTTGCGGCGATCCGGAAGCCGTCGTTTCAACAAATCGCCAACGGTAAGCAAGCACTCGTAATAGTAATCGTAACAGATTCGCGCTATCACCACGAACGTGACGACCCCGCTCTTCCGGTCTAAGTTCCCGCTTTGGCCACAGAAATCGATCGCATTCTTATCCGAGTGCAACGATCTTCGACCCAAATATGACTCTCGTGATTCATTTTATAATTAGCACCTAGTTTTCGGAAGACGGTCGAGCGACCACCAAGATTTTCGGCTTTACGGTACGCTGGACTGGACGAAAAGTGAATGAAGCGTGCACGAGGAGCAGTCGAGCGAAGAAACTTATCGCGAAGTCAAAAAATTCGAATTTTGTTTTGTGATAAATTGCAAAAATCGAAAAAACGACCGCAGTAAAATATTAATGAAAAGCGCAGACCGCGGTTCGTTGCCGCGATAATTACCGGCCCGAATTATTATCAGAAGATCTTCCGTTGCGGTCTCGCTGCGGATTCGCCACTTCCTCGTTATCCGGAGGATGTGTGTCGAATGCGAGCGAAAATAAAAGTTAAACGTGAAAAAAAAAAAAGGAGAGAAACAAGACATTACCTAGTAACCTTTGGTGCAGTTCACGTAACTCGTTTAATATTAATAAGATGAAATAATAGTACAACCGGTTTTGTATTGTCGCGGTATGCGAGCAGGGAGCGGATACGCTGCTCCCGTTATTGGATATCTATTTATCTTTTATCTTGGCCCGCATCTTGCTGTATTGTTGCTGAATAGGAAAAGAACAAAAAGGATATAAAGTATGCGTAATTATAAGTGCGTGCCTGATGGGGGTATTGTCTTTAAAAACGACGCAGGCAACCAGTAATACACTAGTGTGTCGTTGGTTGCATAAGGTGCGCCAACGTTTCGACTTCAAGAACGATAGTTTTTACTATTATTAGAAAGTAACTCTTAGACGGAGCACCCAGTATAAACGTGGAAGTTTTATACCAAGTGTATAATTATTTTAATTCGCATAATAGCCAACTTACAAGGTGGAAAGTGATTTATACCTTCGCTCCGGCGATAAATGGGAGCGGTGCCCTTCATTCTGCATTGTTTCGAAAAATCCAGCGTTCTCACCGACGACCGCATTAGGTCAAGCAATAGTTAGCGTTAATTTACGTTTTTGAGAAATTCCAAGTGTCGACAACCCACTAATGGAGTGAGAGTTTTTGAAGAACGACTCCTTTATTGTGGTGTTTGTCGAAGAAAGTTTTTCGGCGGTTTGTAACTTATCAGTAAAGAACGCATTTTAAACTTTAAAAAAAACATAATAAAACGTCATTAATAGTATTAATATTATTAATATCAAAGAAGTGGATTTGGGTTTTTTTGATTCATCAAATATTAAATTTTTCGTTATTTCCAATTTCCGAATTTTCAGTTTTTCGATTTTCGACTTTTTGACTGTTCAATTTTTGCATCTTTGATTTTACGGTTTTTCGATTTTTGATTATTCGCTTTTACAATTTTTCGGTTTTTCGTTACATATTTCGAAATTTAAAATTTTCCATTTTTTGGAAAGATAAAACTGATTTTGGCAAATAACATACCCTCAAAGAAAAAAGAGGGTGGGTGGGCGTAGCTAGTAGTTGCTAAAATAAGACCGATTTTTTCGAATTTTCAATACATATTCAGTTTTTTGAATTTTCCATTTTTTTTTAATTTCGTTGTTATTTATGCCACCGAACTTCTTCGATTTGCAATTTTCCATTTTTTTTTATTTCTTATATTTTACGACATGCAACTGTCACTTTTCATTTTTAAATCTTTCAGTTTTTCGATTTTCCAAATTTTAGATGTTTCCATTTTTAGATTTTGCAATTTTTCAATTTTTTTTATTTGCAATTTTTCGCTTCGGTTTATTTTCTAAATTTATTTAATTTTTCTTTTTTCCATTTTTCACACCGTCAATGTTACAGTTTTTCGATAATTTTGAGGATTCTATAATTTTTCGATTTCACTATTTATGGGTTTTCCTATTTTTCGATTTGATTCGTTTCTCCTTTTTTTTTAATTTTTCGATTCATTAATTTTTTTCGATTTTTTTCAATTTATCATTTCTTCAATTTTTCATTTCTTCAAATTTTCGATGTGCAATTTTTCGTTTCGGTTTTTTATTTTCTCTAATTTTACCATTTTTCGATTTTTCAATGTTCCAACATTTTTTTTTATTTCAACTGTTTCATGTACAATTCCTTTTTTCGATCTTTCGAATCTCATCGAATTTTGGATTATCCTATTTTTAGATTTTTCGAATTTTCGATTTTGGATTCCAGAGTTTTTGATTTGCCGATATTTTGATTTTTTAATACTTCGATTTTTTGACATTTCGACGTTTCAAAATTTCAATTTTTCGGATGTCCCATTTTTAGATTTTTCGATATTTCGAATTTCGGAATTTGGGTCTTTTTGATTCATCAAATATTCAATTTTTCGTTATTTCCAATTTCCGAATTTTCAGTTTTTCAATTTTCGACTTTTTGACTGTTCAATTTTTGCATCTTTGATTTTACGGTTTTTCGGTTTTTGATTATTCGATTTTACAATTTTTCGGTTTTTCGTTACATATTTCGAAATTTCAAATTTTCCACTTTTTGGAATGATAAAACTGATTTTGGCAAATAACATACCCTCAAAGAAAAAAGAGGGTGGGTGGGCGGGGCTAGTAGCTGCTAAAATAAGACCGATTTTTTCGAATTTTCAATACATATTCAGTTTTTTGAATTTTCCATTTTTTTAAATTTCGTTGTTATTTATGCCACTGAACTTCTTCGATTTGCAATTTTCCATTTTTTTATTTCTTATATTTTACGACATGCAACTGTCACGTTTTCATTTTTAAACCATTCAGTTTTTCGATTTTCCAAATTTTAGATGTTTCAATTTTTAGATTTTGCAATTTTTCAATTTTTTTATTTGCAATTTTTCGTTTCGGTTTGTTTTCTAAATTTATTTAATTTTTCTTTTTTCCATTTTTCACACCGTCAATGTTACAGTTTTTCGATAATTTTGAGGATTCTATAATTTTTCGATTTCACTATTAATGGGTTTTCCTATTTTTCGATTCGATTCGTTTCTTCTTTTTTTTTTAATTTTTCGATTCATTAATTTTTTTCAATTTTTTTCAATTTATCAATTTTTCAATTTTTTATTTCTTCAAATTTTCGATATGCAATTTTTCGTTTCGGTTTTTTATTTTCTCTAATTTTACCATTTTTCGATTTTTCAATGTTCCAACATTTTTTTTTATTTCAACTGTTTCATGTACAATTCCTTTTTTCGATCTTTCGAATATCTCACTCATCGAATTTTGGATTATCCTATTTTTAGATTTTTCGAATTTTCGATTTTGGATTCCAGATTTTTTGATTTACCGATATTTTGATTTTTTTAATACTTCCATTTTTTGACATTTCGACGTTTCAAAATTTCAATTTTTCGGATGTCCCATTTTTAGATTTTTCGATATTTCGAATTTCGGAATTTGGGTCTTTTTGATTCACCAAATATTCAATTTTTCAATTTTCCACTTTTTGACTGTTCAATTTTTGCATCTTTGATTTTACGGTTTTTCGATTTTTGATTATTCGATTTTACAATTTTTCGGTTTTTCGTTACATATTTCGAAGTTTCAAATTTTCCATTTTTTGGAAAGATAAAACTGATTTTGGCAAATAACATACCCTCGAAGAAAAAAGAGGGTGGGTGGGCGGGGCTAGTAGCTGCTAAAATAAGACAGATTTTTTCGAATTTTCAATACATATTCAGTTTTTTGAATTTTCCATTTTTTTTTTAATTTCGTTGTTATTTATGCCACCGAACTTTTTCTATTTGCAATTTTCCATTTTTTTTATTTCTTATATTTTATGACATGCAACTGTCACGTTTTCATTTTTAAATCTTTCAGTTTTTCGATTTTCCAAATTTTAGATGTTGCAATTTTTCGTTTCGATTTATTTTCTAAATTTGTTTAATTTTTATTTTTTTCAATTTTAAATATTCCATTTTTCACACTGTCAATGTTACAGTTTTTCGATAATTTTGAGGATTCTATAATTTTTCGATTTCACTATTTATGGGTTTTCCTATTTTTCGATTCGATTCGTTTCTCTTTTTTTTTAATTTTTCGATTCATTAATTTTTTTCGATTTTTATGTTTCTCGATTCTGCAATACATATTTCGATCTTTCAATTTCTTCATATCGTCAAAAATTTTTCAAGGTTTAAATAATAAATTTCTATAGAACGAATTAAATTCCTAAATCTACCCGAAATGTGTAAAATATGACCAGTGCGTGATTTATCATTGCATTTACATTTCTGGGATTTGCATATACAGGGTGACTCAAAAAAATTAATGAATGCGTCAATTTATTTTATTGCTTTAATTAGGAACTGCAAAACCGAATCTTTTGTAATCTTGGAGATGTTTTAAAGTTATCATAAGCCTAGTAAATTTTTGATCAAAATGTATTTGTTCGTTCCCCCTAAAAAATTGATGACGTCACCTCAAAATATTGCTGATTATATCCTATCTTAAATGTGCAAAATATGATGAGTCGATAGTTGTGATTTATTTTTAATATATAATTAACAATTTTTCAATTTGCTTATACAGGGTGTCTCAGAAAAATTAATGACTGAGTTGTTAAAAAATAAATATCCAATCAGATTTAGGAATTTAACTCGTTACTATGGAAATATGCAATTTAACACATTTAAATTTTACAAGTTTTTACAAGATTAATAGGGGCAAAATCAGTTTTATCTTAACAAATACTAGCGCGCCCCCCCCCCCCCCCCCCATATTTTCCCAGAGATATGTCATTTGCCAAAATCAGTCTTTACTTTTCAAGTACTAGCCCCGCCCACCCGCCCCCTATTTTCTTGGGAGATATGTGATTTGCCAAGGTAAGACTTGTGTTAAAAAGTACTAGCCCCGCCCACCCGCCCCTATTGTCTCAGAGGTTGTATTATTTGCCAAAATAAGACTTTTGTTAG